AAGAATATATTTAAAATATTAAGTGTATTTAAAGATTCTAAAAATTAGATTTTTGAATAACTGTTGAAGAAAAAACGGAATCATAAATTTCTAAGAATATATTTAAAATATTAAGTGTATTTAAAGATTCTAAAAATTAGATTTTTGAATAACTGTTGAAGAAAAAACGGAATCATAAATTTCTAAGAATATATTTAAAATATTAAGTGTATTTAAAGATTCTAAAAATTAGATTTTTGAATAACTGTTGAAGAAAAAAGGGGTGGACATATTTGGTGAATAACCTTGTATTATATATATATTAATTATATAGATTGACTAAAGCCCTCTAGGCCCCTCAAGGTTATCTAGATATCTGCCTACTTACAGCGGCGGTAACTACGGTGGCAAACTGTGCAAATCGTCGCCGACGGTCATATGTTGTAACATTACGAATGCCAAAAACTTCGCGTTTTTATCAGCTACATTATATACCTATAACAGCATAGCATATAGGCTACAGTGTAGGTAGGCGGGTAAATTAGTAAGTACTAAGTAGGTACCACAGAACGTCAAAACCGTCTATCCTATACGATTGCGAATTCGTGTTATTGACCCTTATAATAATATTTTGACGTAGCTTTTACGCATATGTGTAATTTACTTCTATAAAACACAATAATATAGGTAGGTATATATTTTTCATATGTGCATATTTTTAAACGTATGTGGTTAGATAGATGATAGATACATGCTAACAGTAAATTTTATGGTTCCTCTAATATTGCCATTTTGCGTCATCAAAATATTATTTTATTTTTAATTATTATTTAGTAATTATTATATTGTATTTATTCAGGTATATGCAGCTATTACATTCATCGAAATCAATACGAATTACGTTGCAAAAAGCATAATGTACATAGGTACCTAATCATATATTACGCCTATTTAATCATAATAATTATATTAACTTATACACCGCCAGACGCCAGTATTTAAATATTAAAGTAAATTTAATGGCACACAGTTACTCGTGTACTTAAGTATATACGCATTTACCCAAGTACTTTTTTTTTTCAATAATCTTTTTAAAAGTTTCACGTTGACTAGATATTCACTATTCACTTATTCGTACATTGTTCCTAAATTATGAAAATCGGTATTCCTTAGAAATACCGAGGTATAACACTTTGTATAATTTGGTAGAAATAAGATAGCAAATAGCCACGGAAAAAAGAGCGTCCATAAAAATACTCGAAGAACGCAACTAAAAATTTACAAGAAATTTAAGTGTCGCTCGGATATACGGTTTACAGTCATATATGTATCTGAGCAGCAATAAACGCTATCAAAAAGTCAGATAAAACTTTTTTAAAAGTCATGTATTGAGTATTTTGCGTAATGGTTGTGAAACCAGAGCAATACAGAAAAATATACAATGAAATTAGTGAGTAGGTTGATCAAAAAAAGTGGACTAGCAGTAAACTACTTAGTACTAGTTAGATTGAAAGGGAGTACAATTCGAGAATTCTCTGAAAGTTTATAAGGTATTTAATAAGATATAACCAGTAGCCCCTTAATACCCTTAATATAATAGAAGAAAGAATTAATGGCCGCAAAGGGAGAAGAAGACTAAGTACGAAAGGAAAAATTATCGGAATTGCTGGACGCAACTGGTCTTATCGACTTACTATAATATAATATATGAAAAATTAATGTCATTAAAAAGAGACAAATGGTGGTTTGTATTCAATATGATTTTAACAAAATTCAGAAGGTATTATAGCCTTTATTATTAATTAGAATAATATAGGTATATAATTCTGGATTAATTATTCAAATCAAATGTATATAGATCATGATGTTATACTGCAGGAGCAGGTATTTAAAAAACTTCCAACTCAAAAATGTTCACAAAATATTWCGATTAATTTTAACTCAATACTAACACAATAACTTCTCAAATGTGGCTAAAAAAATTTTGTTGTGAATATGTAACTAGTTACTACCTAAATATTCATGATAGGTTCGTAATATTTTTATGCATTAATATTATGGTGGTGAGCTTATAGATTAGAAGCTATTCTGCGATACTTATTACTAGAGTGCAGATTTTTATACATTAAAATGCATTTTTGCCAGTATCTTTATTAAACTATTATGATTCGTAAAGATTATTGAAAAAGATCCAAAAATGTGAAAAGGAAAAAATTTACAATTACATAGAAATCTGCGCTCTACTTATTACTATGGCAAGCGTAATGTTAGTATGCATTTTTGAATGTACCTAAAACTAAATAAACATAAACACATGATCACGGTGTCCGGAGAACAAATGCCGCCATCCCYCACTCTGGGCCATGGCAGAAACCTACGCGTGCCCCAATAGAAATTCTGCCAAAACTCTCACCCACGTGTAACCAACCTACCGTTACATAAAACCTACAGTAGGTACTACCCCCTTCCCAATGGCATTAGTTGCCGTGGGATAATTAAAAAAAAAAAAACATGATGATTATTTTATCTGTAAATACTCACTATTATACCTACCTTTTTTTTTGAAAAATATTTACTTTTTAATGTATTTATTATTTTAATTTTTTGGAAAATGTGTGATGCATGCAGTTCTAAAATTTTATGAGAAATATAGACAAACTTCTTTCCTTAAGGAGCCAAAATATTTTGGACCCTTCTTACTTTTTGTACCCTTTACCACCCCTCTCGTAATTATACAAAAACTTAATCTAAATAGTGTGTTGTCTGTATAAGTTTAAGAGGACCCTACAATCGTTGTCAACAGCGGCGTACGCAGGAATATTCAACTATGGGAGAGGGACTTGAAAATAAAAAAATCACTCAGTTGCTTTAAGATAAGGTTTGAAAAATCAGGTAGATACTTTCATAGTCATATTCATATAGTAGTTATATATTTATAGACTATGATTGTAATGATTTGGTAAACACACAGCTTAAGATACTATATTAAATCATGGGTAAATATAAAATTATTAAGAACAAATAGTAATAAATAATATTTAAATGGGTAGGAGGGCTTTAGCCTGTTAGCCCCCCTATACGTACGTCTCTGGTTTTCACCGTCTTATAAATATAAAACTAAGCAAAAACTGTTTTATGTGCAAAGGAACTGAGAAGGTTTGTCATAAATAAGAAAAAAAATGTCTACCACATCAAAAGGAGAACATTGGTTATGARACGTTGTTTTCATTTTTTTCATATCGGAACTAAAAAAAAATTATTTAATTTTAAAATACTGAAATAATCGATTTTGAAATGGTTAGAACTTTTTTCTTATCTGTAAGTGATATCAAAAAAATTAGAAAGATATTTCACAGGTAACGTTCTCAACTACATTGTATATCAATTTGAAGTCTTAACCTTAACTATCACTATACAGTTTGAGTGGTTCAATTCTAAAAATAATAGTTTTGCTATGATGTACATTTGTAAGACGGAGATAACATTATAGATATAGCRTTTTCCAGTTTTCAATATATTATTAGACGTGTTATTGTGTTATTTCAAATTGTTGGGTGACGAATACATACAATAAAAAATCTTGGAATTTAATTTTAATTTACGGTTGTTAATTATCCATAATATATACATGGGTTTCAGGACAATTAAACCTCAAATTATTTAAAATATTTAAATTCGGGGTCACTGACTTTTCTTAGTGGGTCTAGTCACCTAATGTCTTCCCCTTGATGATGTTCCTGCATTGTATGTACCTACGTATAGTATACTAGTCTCTACTTTATGTTATTGTTACAGTCTTGTTTATGCTTTATGGTTAAACCAGTAATAACTTTTAATTTTTAAATGGAAATATTATTTTCATTACATTATCTAAAACATATAATGGTATAGTATATATTTTGAATATTAAACAATTCATGTTCTTAATATAGGTATATGCTTATTTGTTAAGCATTTAAATTGATGGTGAATTCAACTTTCCATAGGAACCTTTTACCTACACTTATTACTTCAATTGTATTTATTCGTTTTCATTAAAATATCGAGAAAAGTTCATCCTTCGCAACATGATGAACATTCGTTAACATAATCACTTAGTATATTATTTTAAATTAAAGGTTGATATTGCGTGTTAAAGTGAATAATTAGGATGGGTGATGTATACCGACCACCATAATGTATAAATATACTAATATAATATGTAGTTGCAGCTTATGACGATATGGTGACAATGTGGATGTAAGTATAATGTTTACAAGTAAAATGTAAATTAAAGCATATTGAAGCATGTCTATATTCCCATTTTATCATTGAATAATAGTATTTGTTTAGGTTCTATTATTAGTCGGGAAATTTTAATAAGTTTAATAATTTTTAAATATTTTATGTATAATAAAATGTAGGTGTAACAGGTTCTAAAATTATACACTCATGAACAGGGCCGTAATTAGGGGGGAGTTACAGGGTGCTGCCCCGGGCGGCTGATTAGGAGATGGTGGCTAATTTTTTTATAATTTAAATTTGTATTTTGTATAATGATTAATGAGGCGTATTTTATTTTTGTTGCTGTATTCAACATTCTATGTATACATAAATATTATCATTGTGCAATTTGTGCTTAGAATAAAACAACTCAGAAATATTATTATTAGTTATATCTTATATAGACTTCCATTTCACGATGGATCCAACTAAATTCTGAATTGCTATAAAAATAATTTATTCAACATATTTTATATTCATGATAGGAAATTATAGCCCCTCATTACAAAAATATAGTGTTTTTGATACTCCATATTAAACGCACCGTGAAAGTATGGGATAGGTGAAGGCTATATGTATGTATAGCATATTAAAAGCTTAAAATTTCCAAATATTAGAATTTAAACAATTTCTATTAAATTAAAGGATAAAATGGTAATGTATGACATTTTCAAATTGATATGTTTATCATATTATTACGTATAGATATGTTAAAACCAAATAAGTATGACTGCTGTACCAAAATTGAAATTACTTACAAGATCGGAACGAATTTTTGTTTTTCAACTTTTTGGCAGCAGTCCTGAGCTTTCCTTGCATAAACATCAACAGGAAGTACCCAAAGTACATGAACAGCAGAAACAGTGCCTCGTACCACATGACCACGTCGTCGACTACAATGATGGCCAGCGCAATGATCGACACTAAGTAGACGCCACTATCCCGGAGCAGCGGCCACTTTTCTAACGTGATGGCTTTCCTGGCGGCTAGGCCAGCACACGCCGATACGCCTAGTGTGTTGTAAATGGCACTGCCTACCACCGTTCCCACCCCGAGGTCAGATTCCGTTAGGAACGTTCCGATGACGCTGACGAAAAGTTCCGGCGCGCACGTGGCTGTCGCCATGAACGTCGCTCCCGCCACGTCCGGCGAGATGCCTAAGTCTRCAAAAAACAAGTATGCAGAAAAATTTAATAATATTACTCATTAAACTTTAACTTTACTCGTACAGGATTTTGGTCACTAAATAGAAATTTCGAGTTGCTAATTTTAAATGATTTCTCAAATCTAAATTTTCAATAATAAAGTATTTCAATCATTTCAATAATCAATTTTATAGGTTGGCAAGTCTTAAGTCAAACTTCTTAAATTGTTTAATCATAATCTAACTGAAAACTTTGAAACTAATTTTGACCGTCAAATTCTGTTTGCATGATCTTTATTTGCCAAAAAATGAATAAATCCCTTGAAAAAAAAATTGCCAAAAAACGGGTGTCTGGTAATATTCTGGTAGAGTAGAAAAGTTTCCATGCCATTATATGATGTACATTATATACAGCCTACAATGCTACAAATAATAATATTGTTATAAGTTATAACTTATTGTAAGTACCTAACCTAACCTAAACAGTAGGTAACAATATATTGAGAATTCTGACGTAATGAAATAGATACAAAAAAATAATAATAATATAGGTATCTGTTTCATTGCGTATTGTATAACTACATCTCTGTAACTGTTTGTAACAATTGATTTTGCAGTTTGGACGATTCGTYCGATTCAAAACAATACGCAGATKTTTTAAAAATATACTTGCGTTTGTTTGAAATTATTTATGCGATAAATTTATAGTGAGCTAAAGAACTAAACAGAACTATAAWAGCATAAACGGTAGGAGTGAAATTTATTTAATTTATAATACCTACCGGTCATTTTTATTGCGTGTTGCATAATGTGTATGAATATTTATATAGTTAATAGGTGTTAATATCATATAAAGTAACATACTTGGAAGTTTAATACTATTATAGTACCTATATATATGATAGCTGTATACGAAACTAATATTAAAGTTTAGCTGAGATTTTTCCTAAAATTAAGTAGTGATCAATAACCTCAAAAACTTTTTCGCATTTTTTTACTACATACTGATAACATTATATTTGACACCTTATAAAAATCTGCAATATATTACAATCTATTTTTTTGCTATAGATGAAATAGTATGTATATGACGTACCTAAACATATGCAAAACACTGACGGTAGGAAATAATCATTGCAGACGAATGCTATGAAAACGAATCCATAAAAAGCCACCAAGAAGTGAAAAACAACAGCGCCGTGACGTCTTTGGTCGTCAGTGAAAAAGTCCGGGGGAAAATCATCGATGGAACGACTGACATTTTCACATTTGACAGTACTGCTATTACTGAACTCGATGYTGGAACTCGTATCATTCCCTGAAAAAAAAAATTATGGATGATAAAACAAATGCAGGTATGATATTTCCTCGTTGTATTCCGCGGTTTATTTTTTATATATTATTGTATTTTATTAACGTAATGTTATATAATATATTATCTTCTTATATTGCATATATATTATTCTTAACTGCACCATAGGCGCACATAGGGTGTGAATTTAGGGGGTGCTGAAATAATTTATAGTACACA